ATTTACCTTTCCGAGGCAGGTATCTGGCATTGTCGGCCAATGGCAAGTTGCTAACCGTCTGTGAATACGACAAGTTTTGTCCCCTACCCTTCGTTGGCGATCTTTCGAGTTTCGATGAGGTTTCGATGAGAAAATGAGCTAAAATCTCAGCAATTAAAAACTACTTTTTACGTGGGTCGACCAACTAATCAAAATCATCTTTAATTAGTAATATCAGATTTAAACGGCAAAAACTGCAAAGTAATGTTATTTACCTTAAACGACAGAGAGGGAACGTAAAACGGATGACTGCTATTTTTCGGCAAATCCGGTATCAGTAGTTGAAAGATCTACAAGATCTTTACCCGAATCATCCTCGCCTATCGGAAAGACCTGGAACTGCTCGCCAGAATAGAACAAGCCGGTTTCCGAACAAGGTTCTTAACCAAAGGCCACTTTCACGTCGTTAAGCAGTTGACAGAGAAGTGAGAGCAATGCAAATCCTCCCCCTTGCTACTCATTTAGTGACATCAGAAAATCCTTCGTTTCCGCCGCCTTGCACGACTGCGGTATCAAACCGAGGTGCACGTCCACCTGATCGATAAACTGAATGCTTGTTGAATGACATGATTACTTGAACAGTTGTTCGAAAAACCGTGTCGAATCAACGTCAAAAGGGGGCTACGCGAAGGAGAGTGAGACCATCTTTTCGAAGTTGTTTACAACGGCGCTGGAATTCCTCTTTAGCCGTCCGACGTGGTCCGACGACAACAACATCGACGGAGAAAGGCTCATCCATCTGTTCGTTGCTGACGATGTCATCATCTTCGCCAAAGACCGCGCGCTTATACAAACAAAGATCGCATAGTTTCAAGAGTCAGGTACCATAGGTCTGGAGAAGAACATCTCCAAGACGAAATGGATATGCAAGGAGCGTTGCCCCGTAGGAACCATTTTCAATGACGGTGCAAAAGTGGTAAAAGTCACAACCTACGCATTCCTCAGCCACGTAATAGACTCTAATAACAATATCAATGGCGAGATCAGCAAAGGAAGAAGGCGACATCGTGAAGTTTCAATCACATCAAAACATCACTGCTAGATAACGAACTGCCCATGACCACAAAGAATGACTATTTCAATACACGACCTTACCCGTCAGAATTTATGGCGAGAAGAGCTGGTCTATCAATAAGGCTGAAGAAAAGAACCCAGTAGTAGCGCAAAGGGCGATGGAAAGAAGAATATGCTAGGCTTTCCTTCAAGAACATGTTCCAAGCGCGATCTTTCAGTGTCGGAAACGCCTTTTAGATGCATTCATTCCTACCTACAACTCGAAGAGACGATGGAATGATCATGCAACTCATCTGAAAGACAACAGGTAGACATCCCAGTACCACATCGACTCAGCCTTCGAAATACGGCTTTCGGGCTGATGACATGGAAATGGAGATCAGCGCACCGCTCATAAAAAATACGGCACCAGAAACGGTCCCATCATGCGTTAAGCAAGATAATCATGAGCCAGATCGGTCACCCCTGCACTTCCTTCTCCTTCATGATTGGGCCATTCTGGGAGCCCTTCTTTTCAAGAAGTTGATGGTGCGGCGCTGTTCTCCGTTTCTATGGCATCAGCCAGGAGTGCCTAATTGCTCTAAGGTAGACTACAGCCGCGCGTGGCA